ATCCCCGGGCGCGGCGGGGCTTGGCCGGCCGGCCAATGGAGGGAGTACTAAATATTGTAATTGCCAGATACTCCCTTAATTTTTCCCATACAATGTCCATTCGTACAACACCCGCAAACAAGAAGACTCAGTGCAGCCAGCTTTTGGTAAGGAGATGACTGTGGCCCTCTCAACAACCAAGACAAAGAAGACGCAGAACAAGCCAAGAACATGCAGGTGAAGCGCTAAGCTTGTTTTGTGTGTGAGTTGGTTTATGTTTCCATCCTTCTAGATTTGTTGTAAGAGTATGGAGTTGAATATTATGAATGATGTGCTCACTGGATGGGCACATTTTTTTTGTCTACATATGTAAGCATAAAAATTGAACATAAATTTGCAGGGTCTCTTATTTTTTTATTTAATCTATACATTAGTTGAGACATGCCCTGAATGCATGATTACTCATGTTCATCTGATGTCATATTTTTTAATTATGTATTTCCTCGGATCCAAAACAATTGTCGTAGTTTAAACTAAGGTTAGTTCAATTTTAGTTCAAAACCGTGCCACTTATTTTGGATCGGAGGGAGTACAACATTTATGTATGCGAACTGGTGGCGTGCTTTAAAAAAGCATATTGTTGTGCATCGATTTTTCGTGGTCATTGTTATTCTATTTTTCAGAATACAAACTTAAATATATAATATACTCACGCGAATTTTATGCGTGTTGATGGAGATTGCACGCTTAGAACATCTCTACCAGATCCCGCAAAACCTCGCCTCCCATATGATTCCAGTCGTTTTGCTTCATGGAACCTTTTTCGGGTAGAACAGGTCCGTTAAGTTTAGCCTGGCCCATAAATGTTTTACATGCGGCCCGCAAACCGACCACTCCGGCGCTATGTCTATGGCTTCAGCTCCCTTTTACCGGATGCAAACCTTATTCCTCCGCCTCAACCTTCCCACGCCGCCGCTACCATGCCCTAAGTTCGGCGTCAAATCACACCTCGAATCCGCCGTATTTTCTCCTCCTCCATGGTCGGTGTTGCTTGCGGGTGTGGTCGTGATGGTTCGCCGCAGTGCAAGCTCGCCCGGCATGATGCGGAGGCCTACAACTCCAACCGGCCCGCTGTCGAGCCATGGCGGTCCAAGCAGGCGGGCGACCACGGCCGCCTCTCCCACAGCGGCGGGTGGGCACCTTGGGCCGGCTTCAACGACCTCCACGATGCCCTTTTTCTGCGCGTGCCCCCGTGCGCGCACACACACACACACTTATGTGTTGGGAGACAAAAGCGGAGCTCCTTGCCACGGAGCGCATGGTGGCGGTCTGTGAAGAAGGCGCCGCCGACCGTCTAGCCACCGCAAAGGAAGATCACGCCTATGCCCACGCGTGCCGCAATTCTGAAGAGACGTTCTACCTCGGCATCGATGATTGAGCTGGCCTCCCCTAGGTTTAATTTGTAGTATGAACTTTTCAAAAAAACACTTTTCTAACACTTATTAGCTATGTAGGACGAACTGGTTTTTAACTTTGCAGTACTAATTATACCGGATATGTTCTATTAGGACCATCGCGAGATACCGCTCCGTTAGGACTAATGCTTCTACCTATCACCCGGAATTATGTCCCAACCTTCATTCAATTAGTGCATTTCTAACCGATCCCCTATAACCGGTTAGTGGAGTATATTTAACTTTTTACTCCACTAACCGGCACCTAGCCGATCCCCAATTTGGCCTAATAGAGTATAATTTTACTCCTCCCCAAAAATTTCCCTATTTATACTTACTCTCTCGTCCGCCGAGTAAAACAGCGCGGCT